ATAACAACAATAATAATAAATAATAATAAACAATAATAAATATTAAAAACAATAACACTAAAAACAGTAAAAATCACCCGCCCCCCTCCTCACTCACCGTTCTGCCCAAATCCTCACTCGCTTTGAAAAATAGCACCAGCCGTGCAATCTGCGCACTCAACACGTCCAACGTGGCCACTTTGCCCACCGCATCGAAATTCTGCCGCAGCAACGCGTGGAACCGCCGACGCGTGCGGTTGGCACGGTACCAAGACTGGATTTTTACGACCGCTGATTTCTTTCTAAAAATTAAATCTAAATATTCCATCCGAAAACCCAAAAATTTCTCAAAACCGCCGGAAAACATAAGAAAATTCCAAAAAATTCCTTAATTTCTGAATAAATGAAAAAAACTTGGCAACGTGCCAATACAATGAAAACACCACGGTCACACCCACTTTGCCAAAAGTTGACGTTCTATCCGCTCCTCTTCCAGTCGCTTCATGAATTCGTCTTTTTGAGCCTTAAACAACACACTTAAACATCACAAAACCAACTCTAACAATAAATAATAACAATAATAATAAATAATAATAAATAACAATAATAAATAACAACAATAATGATAAATAATAACAATAATAAATAATAATACATAACAATAATAAATAATAATAAACAATAACAATACAAACAACTCACCAAATCTCTAAAAATCGCGTCCTGCAGTTTATTCCTCTGCACCGATCCATTGAAATCGTACAAAAATATATTACTGCTCATTTCTTTCGTTTATTTATTTCTTTTTCATAAAAAATTTTCCGTTTCAAATTGGAAAATATTTCCTGAAAATTCCCTCAACAATTATTCCCAAAATCTCTAAAAATATAAACAATCTTGACAAATCTCGCAATGACCAAAAAAATAATAAATAACAATAATAATAATAACAATAATAATAACAATAATAATAAACAATACCAACAATAAAAATAAACCCAAAATCACAAAAATATATTTCAGATCTCTCAAAAAAATATCAAAAGATATTTCAGGTCTCGCAAAACCTCAAACAATACCACAATAATAATAATAATACCAACAATGCCATCAATAATATAAACTCTTTTATACGCCTTTCTATACATCAACATACTCAACCACACATTCTATCCCTAGGACATTTGGTCCCCGTCTTCTTACCTCCTTTACAATCCCTCCCCACTCAATCCAAATTCGGGTACCAAATGTCCTGTGACCAACCTTATCCGGTCACTTACCAACCCCACCCCGTTGCGTCACTTACCAACTCCACCCCGCTGCGTCACTTACCAACCCCACCCCGCTGTGTCACTTACCAACCCCACACCAAACAACAACAACACAATAAATCAATTCAAACGACCACATCACTAAACAACCACATTCACATATAACAATAATAAACACAAAAAAACAACAATAAAACAAAACAATTAACAATAAAATTAAATAAATCCCAAACAATTTTCACAAAAAATCAAAATCCAAAACAAAAATCACACCAAATTTCCACACCTCTTAAAAATATTCCTAAATAAGTACCACAATCATAAGTACCACAATCTCGACTACTACTAATAATAATAACAATAATAATATTACTCCTAAACCACGAAACAACCACCCGTCACTACGCACTTCATATAAAATGATCTCAAAAACACAATTTTGCCAAAATGGCCGAAATTAATACCATTAAAATTACTGTTATCATTATCATATTTACCCCAATAGTAATAATAATTATTATTTGTATAATATTAATAATAATAAATATTCAATATTATCATTATTATTCCACATTACCCTTCCTAAATATAATATAATTTCCATACCCCCCCCCCCAAAATTTT